AGGGTGTGTTAAGTCACCCCATTAAGGTGGAGGGACCCCTCCATGGCCAGCTCCTTGTGTCCCCACGCTGCTGCTGGGGCTGTGGCTGCCCAGCTCTCTCCTCAGCTCCATCCTCACATGCTGGAATACGCTGCTGCCTCCTGGAAAGGGCAGTGCCAGTTTATCCTTCCATTTGCTGCCCCTGCTGGGCTCTGGTTCCTTGCATGTCTCACATGCACTGATGGGAGCAGTGATTTATCCCAATGGAAGTGCAGTTGGAGCCAGGGAAGGGCTAAGCCAGCTGCACTATGGCTCTTCAGCTTTAAAAATAGCTTTTATTTGCCTGTTAACGCTTTCCCTCTGGTTCCTGAAGTTGCTGCAGCTCCTGAGATCTCCTAAGGATGCTGATGAACGGGAAATGGTAATTCTGCACACTGGGATGCTGAGCAGAAGCTGCTTTTAGCAGCTGCAGGCCCTGTTCATTAAATCTCTGGCTGTGTGGGCACAGCCTGCCCCAAAACCCCAAACCCCAGATGAGGAGCTGTGCTGGGGCTGTGCACAGGGGCTGGGAAGCTGCTTCCAAAATATTTCTTTCCCCCAGGCAGGTTTTTAATTGGAGAGCTGGGGTTTGCTTTGCTTTGCTGCTCTAGGATTAGACGTGACTAATTGGGATGGAGGGGGGAGAAATTGTATCTGGGTTTTTATGCATGGCCAGTTCTAAAGCAGGGGGGATTTAGCTGTCAATTTTAAACAGGGAAGGTTTAGATGTCATTTTTGAAGCAGGGAGGGTTTAGATGTCATTTTTGAAGCAGGGAGGGTTTAGCTGTCATTCCAGAGCATGGCTGGATGGCCTGGCACAGGGACAGTGGCTCTGGCTCAGGGTTGCTTTTCCAGGTATTTTTAAAAAATGGAAAAATAGACTTGCTGGTCACAGACGGGAGGGATGGGCTGTGGGCCTGCCCATCTGGTTTCTATGCAACCTCCCCAGTTTTAGGCAAATTAAAAGGAGATTTTAAAGTAGATTCAATGTATTTATTTCTGTCCCCCTTTGGACTGAGCTCACACAAGCTCTGAAGGCCAAGTTGGGACAGGTTTACTGAAAGTCTGCTTAAAATGTGGGTCTGGCCTGTATTTTCTAACAGCACCGGTTCAGCCAGGAAATTGTGCAAAATTTAACACAAACCAAACAAAACCCTCCAAACTTGCTTCTTGGTATTCCTGTAAATATTATTTCTGTTTTCATTTCCTTCTGTAAATTAAACCACCACCACCACTGTCACTTCATAAATGAAAACTGCTTTTGGCTGTGAGTGAGCACTTAAAAGTTGCCATCAACTGTGGGAATTTAAAATACCGTTACCTTTTTACCTCCTAGCTATGAACTCAAAACCCCATATATTTTTGTAGGTTACATAAATTTTCAAAAACCCTCTATATATTTTTATGGGGCTAGATATATCCAGCTGCAAACTCAAAAAATGGCTACAAAATTTAAGAACTCAAATCTGTAGTAGAATCTTAGGTACACACTTCTGTAACAGATTATACTATATTGTACAGGGAGGGGTGTATTATATGCCAAAGCATATAATATATCCCTCCCTGTACAATATATATTATATATACAATATATATACAATATATATTGTATACATATCATATACAATATACATTTATATATATAACAATATATATGTATAATATATACTATATATAGTATATATAGTATACTATATACACTATATATAGTGTATATATATAGTATATATTCTAAATAAAATGTATACTATATATATTACATATTATATACAATATAATAAATACATTATATTACAATATATACAATAAAATAATACAATATATAGTATATATACAATGTATACTATATATAATACATATATACAACATATATGCTTGTATATAGATATTATATATATATACACAATATGTATATATTGTATATATATACAATATATAGTATATATAATATATAGTATATATACAATATATAATATATATAGCATATATACTATATATAATATATACAATATTTATTATATATATTGTAATATTTAGTATATAATGCATATATATTATTTTATTCTACTCATTATAAATTACATAGTATATATTTTATATTTTATATACACTGCATATAATGTACATATTATATACAATGTATATATTATATATAATATATACATTGTATATATATTATGTATCATACATATATAACATATACAATATATATAATAAATATTGTAATATATAATATATATAATACATATGTATATTATATACAGGAGATATTCTATTCTATTCTATTCTATTCTATTCTATTCTATTCATCATAAATTACACAGTATATATTTTGTATTTTATATACACTGCATATAATGGATACAGTACTGGATATTGCACAGTGGGAGGGTGGTGTGGCCGTGGCCGGGCGCTGGTGGCGGTGCCACCGCGGTGCCAGCCGGTGTCCCCGTGTTTTGTTTTGCAGCACCTACGGGGAGCTCACCAACTGCACGGCGCTGATCGCCGAGAAGCTCGACTGCTACTGGCCCAACCGGCTGGTGGACGAGTTCTTCGTGGCCGTGCACAGGCAATACTTCAGGAACTGCTCGCCGTCGGGCCGGGCGCTGCACGACCCCCCGAACGGCGTGCTGTGTCCCTTCATCGTGCTGCCCGTGCTCGTCACCCTGCTCATGACGGCGCTCGTCGTGTGGCGGAGCAAACGCAGCGAGGGCATCGTCTAGGGCCGGGGAGGGACGGGCGGGTGTTCCCTGGATTTGGGAAGAGCTGCCGGAGGGTACCGAGCCCCGGCGGCAGGGACAGCATCGGCACCGCTGCTCCTCCGCCCGTGTGCCCGCTGTTTCCCAGTAAATGGCATTTCAGCGGTGGGTGCTGGGCGGAGCGGGGACTCCGCGGGGCTCCCCCCGCACCGGCTCCGCTCCGCCTCTCCCAGCCGCTTCCAGCGTGTGCGAGCGGGGCAATTGTAAAGGGAAAAACCCCAGGGGGGGTGTGGGGAGTTTGAAATCCTGCCAGCGGGTCTGGGGGCACCTGAGCATCCTCAGCTTCCTCTCTGTCCTGTACTGGGCTCCCCCCACACGTGGAAAGGCATCTTCTCCCCCAGCCCCCCGCACAAGGACTGGGTTTGCCTGGGAGCTGGGGAACAACGCGGGGAGTTCGGTGGTGGGAGCGGGTGGTGCCCTGGGGCTACTAACAAGGAACGGGAATAAGGTGCTTTTCCTAAATAAATAAAGAAAGAAATACCTGAATTAACCAGGTGCCTGTCTCTGTGAAGGCTGAGCTGAAGCCTCCCCCTCAGTGCCCTCATTCTGTGGTGGCACAGACCCCCAGCAGTGGGATCAGCTCCAGAGCTGGGAGCCTGGGCAGCACCAGGGAAGGGACAGGAAGGGACGGGATGGGATGGGAACCCCCAACCCCACCCTGACAGCTCCAGACCCCTTCAGTGCCTTGCTGGCTCAGGAAGGGGTTCCCTGGGGACACCCAGCTGCTGTTTACTCCTCACTCTCACATTTCCCAAAAAACCCCAAAACCCAATGGGACATCCAGCCTCATGCATGGCCCACCCAGCCCAGACCCCCTCTAACTCAAACCAGTCTATGACTCTGGCAGAAGCATAGATTAGTTCCACCTATACGAATACACATAAAAACACATACAAACAAATATATATATTTATGTAAATACATACCCCCCACCCCCTTCCCCCCAATCTCCTCACCTTCATGAAAAATTCTGTTTATTTTCCTGGACTGTGAGGTGATGAGATCTAGGATCCCCCCCCTCCCCATGAGCACAAACCAATGCTCAGAACTCCTTGTACAATATGTAACAGTATCCAAACTTTATTATTCTGCTCATCTCCAGGCAAGCAACAATACAGGGAAGGGGTGAGACAGGATTGTTCTGGGAGGCAGGGGGGGCTCTCATGGCTGCAGCTCTGTGCTCACAGGGCTGCTGGTACTGGCACAGCTTTCCCTGGCTGCCCTGGGCACAGCAGCTTCCCAGCCTGAGTGGGGAGCCATCCATGGTGACAGCCCAAGAAATGGGGACTGTGACCCCTCCTCCTGCTGACAGCACCAGGGTGCCTCTACAGCAAGAACTAATTTGTTACAGCAACCTGGTTGAGTTTTTGACTCAAGAATAAGAGAATCCTTCTAATGCCATAAGCCAAATCCAGATGTGTTTCCCAACCTTGCTATTTCTGTGGTGTTTTACCCCCTACCTTTGCTGATATATCTGTTTTGGCAGCAAAGATCTCTCACTGCAGGTGCCTGCTTAAAACACTGAGCTGATTCTTGTTTCTCTGTGAATGCTGTCTGCAGGTGAAGCTCTCCATGCCAATCCCTGCATTTCACTCCCTGCTTTCCAGGCCTCCAGCAACAGCTACAGGAGCTGCCAAAGCTGCAAAGGAAAAGGCACAGGGAGAACTCAACACAAAAGTTTCATTCCTACAGTTTGCACCCCAGCTCTGCTGTGCTCTTCAGGGAGATTGGTTTCATTTCCTCGTCATCTGCAGCAGAGGAACAGCAGGAGAGAATGAAGGGGAGTAAAACCCCAACAGTCAATGCCCAAGTGTCACACACACACTTGCTCTGCGTGAAAGCACACAAATATTTATTTCCTAGCTTGTAGAAGCTCAGCTGGGCTCCATCAGCTCCTCTGTGTGCTCCCAGTCCTGGAGGATGCCCAGGGAGCTCTGGCACCAGGACTGAAGCCTCTCCTGCAGGCTCCCAGTGCCACCCAGCTCCTTACAGAAAAGGCACCTGCAGCATCACATCCTCCCAAATCAGAAAGCCAAATGTGCACGAGTGGGGGAATGTGCTGTGGTTCCAGCTGTGTCCTTCCCTCCAGTGCAGGAATCCTGGGAACACAATCAGGTGCTCTCCAGGTAACAGTGCCTAAATTTACCTTCATCAGAGCAAACAGCATCTGATGCTCCCTCAGCACATCCAGGTTGGAAAGCCCAAAGGTAGATTTCTTTTTTGAAAAAATCTCCCTTCCATTAAATTTTTCACAGAAATATATAATATATATATTTTATATATTTATATATATAATTTTACTAATACTAAACATGTACTTAAGTTAGATATTAGCCTGTATTTCTTTTAACTACTTCACACAATGAGTAGAAACAAAAAACCAATAAACTTGTAGCCCAAACAGGGCCTGAAATTAACAAAGTAAAAATTCCAAACTGTGACAAAAACATACTTACATTAAACAGCACTGAGAACTTCAATACCAGAAGCAGAATCTCATTTTGCACTTCCACTCTGGCAAGCTCTAAGCCTCAGCTGAGTGATTCTGAGAAAAAGCTCATTTTGTTTTTTCTGCTCATCAAAGGCAACAGTTTAGTGATTTGGTTCACAGGAGACCATTTATTGCCAACTCGAAGTGTTCCAAAAATACGCCACCTTTTCTGCTTGGGCTGTTTGGGTTTGCTTTTTTCCTTCCCCCCCTCCAGATTAGGCAAGAGTTTAAAAAAAAAAGTGTAATTACAATTTCAATAGTGACTTCTTTTAACTTCTCAAGCATACCTCATCAACAGGATATACAGTACAGTTCAGAAGAGTAAACATTTGTAAAAGGAAGCAGACAACTTTTTCAACCAACAGACACAATTTCTTGCTGTATTTATGCTGAACTCTCCTTTGAACATGGACAGGTTATGAAGTTAGTTTTCTTCTTCAGAACAACGTGGACACAGGACTGGTACAAGCCAGGCTGCTTTGGCTGCTGCTGAGGTTAAGGACAGCTCTGGAGCCGTGGTCCTGCCATCCATCCATCCCTTCATCATCTGGCGTAGCGCTTAATGTAATCTTCCACTTTATTCCGAAAGTCCTCCTGCAGGGAAGCACAGCTCTGTTAGCCAGGCACAGCAGGGATGGGCTCACAGGGAAATGTGCCCCTGGCAGGAGCCCTGAATCCTTACAGCGAGTGCTCCACAGCAATTCCACTGGGGAATCAAGTGGGAAAAACCTGCCATCACCAGCTACAGCTTAGGTGCATGTACAAGCTTGAATGAGAGATGTGGGACTCCAGGGGCTCTCCAAAATCCAGGGTTGTGGGTGACAGAGCCTGAGCCTACAGCTGTCAGCTCCAGCTGCAGGCAGCCCTGGAGACCCTTTGGTTTTGGTTACATTGCATTATATACTTTTCTTTTGGCTACAATGCATTATATACTTTTCTTTGCTGAGCATCTTAATCCAGTAGAACCAATCTATACCTTAACTTTTATCTATAGCCCATCATAACTACTGTAATTACCATATTTATGTTACTGTTCTCCAATCACTAAAAGTCAGTACATTGCAGTTTAAGCTAGAAGTTGTTTTTCAGTTTTCTTGCAGTAGGAAATTCTGAGACATTTTTTCTACTTGCAACATTTGCTGACTTGTTTGCCTGTGCTATCCTTCTGCTTGGTAAAAATCTCTTGTTTGAGGTGGGTTTATCCTTTGCTCTGAGCCATAAAAACCCCTTCTAACTAACACACCCTTTGCCTCCTTGGTTATCCAGTGAGACTGGCTCAGCAATTCTTTTCTTCTATATCAAAACTTGCTTCCATCTCTATTCCTTCTTCAGATTCTACATTCAAAAATATTTCTGCTAAGCACACATATCTGTGAGACTTTCTTGTCAAACTTTCATCCTGCTCAACAGGTGCACACACACTGCCTGCTATTCCATAACCTCTGTATCCAGGGAAAACCACAGAATTCTGGTAGTTTGTGCTTATAAAGCAAGAAGAAATTCTGACATGGTGTGATCTCTGTGCAAGCAGGGATGCCAGGCAGACACCACATTCCTGCCATGTTATTCTGTGCCATTCACATTCTCTGAAAAAATCCCTTTGCTCAGGATTTTTCACCTGGGAAAAATCTGAGAAGCCTCAGAGAAAAGGAAAACAATTCTTATCTCATTTGCTTCTTCTGTGCTGTGCTCATGTGGAATGTGTTTGGAGATTGTTCACCCACAGGTGATTGTTCCATTGGGTTCTGCTGAGAGTTGTTTTGGCTCTTTGGCCAATCAGGGCCAAGCTGTGTCAGACACTGGAAAGTCAGGAATTTTTATTATTATATTTTTAGCATTCAGTAAGTATCCTTTCTGTATTCTTTAGTATAGTATTTAATATAATATAGTATTATAAAGTAATAAATTAGCCTTCTGAGAACATGGAGTCAGATGCATCACTCCTGCCTTCATCAGGATGCAAATACAATATTATTCTCACAGGCTGGTATTAAATATGTTCCACTCAAATACACCAAGGGCCTGTGCTCCAGAGTGCATTCTGCTGCATTTCCAGCTCTCATTTTTATGTGCTGCTGGAATATAAAGCAGGAAAACCTGGGAAATGTATGTACTCACACCTGTTAAAAAAGAAAACAACTAAAACACCAATGCATGCAGTAGATGAGGAGGTTTTGAACACTGTCCTGGTACACTGGAGATGCCTGGAGAGCAGAGGCCATGGAAGCACTGAAATCCTCTGCCTTGGTTTTGCTTTACTACAAAATCCCACTACCATGACCTGTGGGATCACAGCAAGGCACAGTCCTGCTTCAAAGAATGTCAGTTCCAGGTTTGCCAATACACAAAATGATGCCTTTCAAACACATGCCAAGTGTTTTGGCACAGACCACCCAGAGCTGGACATCAGGGCACACCAGGAAGGGGCACTAATATGACCTTTTTGCTTGAATCAAGCTTCAAACACATCAATATTTCCCTGGCTCCAACACCACACTTCAAACACTTGAGATCAGCTCCCCTTGTGAAGGTTTGGTTTCGTGCTGCTGAGTGAAAGGATAAAGGTTATCCCGTGGTTCAAATCCAAAAGGATCAAAGAAAATCTATGATCCATGATAAACTCTGTGATTTCACTTTTCAGCTGATCAGGCTGCATCACAGATGTCCATAAAAGTGCACAGTGCTCAGAAGCTCAACAGTTTAAAATGCAGTTTAAGGCCAGAAATCCTGTTACAAACAGGGCTGCAGAAATCCCACTCCTCCTCAGGAACAGGCTGCCTGCTCTTCTGGGGTGAAAGAGCAGCTATTTGGGTCCAATATGGCACCTGCTAAAGGCAACAGTGTGTGTAGTGACTTTGCCACTCTGCTGCAAGCACACCCATTTCCACACTCATCCAACTGCATGCTGTGTTAAAAATGCTGTATATTAAAACCTAATGCCATCTCCACTGCAATTAAATTCCCAAACCCAGGGAATTCCAACCCATAGATGCAGGTTATGATGGCTGTGGTGGAAACTGAACTCACTCAGGGCTTCTTGCACATTGGTTCCTGTGGGAAATGGATTTGTAGAGAACTCTCAAAGCCTGAGAGAAGGCTCATATATCTCTATATAAACTTTGAGATAAGGAATGCTGACTTAGAAATGCCATGGAATAGGACAGACATTGAGAGAGAAATGGAACTAGAAACAAGTTTCAAAGGATGGCCTTGCAAATAAGACTGGATACTTGGGAGAAATAAAACTATAAAAGATGCACTGTAGTGGGACCCACGAGGGGTAATTTTAGATTATTGGCTTTAAGGCATTTACAGCATGGTGTGGCAAAAGCTGATAGGCCAAGAAACACTTACAGTGTATTTTAATTAGAAAAGAGTTGAATGTATTGTAATTAAAAAATAGTTGGCTTCTGATTGTGATAACATGAATTATAACATCTGTATTGTCTCACCCTTCTCATGAGACTGAAAATAGAATTAAAGTTTTTAAATGCCTCTCAGTTGCCCCATTTCTGGTCAGAAAAGGGCACAATCCAAGAGTTTCCCACTGCTGTGTTTCTCCAAAAGATGGATGACTACAAGGAACCGAGCCCAGGGCTGGGAAACCCCCTGGACACACACAGAGCTGTACAATAGCCAAGAGCAGGGCAGTGCAGGCAGCTCAGAGCACCCCTGGCTATTCCCTCTGCCCCTTTATGAGTTGTTACACAGGGAAATGGGCTCTCAGCAGGGAAGGCAGGAGGCTCCAGAAAGGCTCCCTGTCACTCCCAAGGAGCTGATGGTGTTGGCAGGATGCATTCACAGGGTGCTCTGTGTGTGTGAACAGGAGGGGCTCAGCCCAGAGCTGCAATGTTCCATCCTCACCTGCCATATGGCTCAGCACCTCCTCATTAATGGGGGGCACTTCTCTCTGGGCACAGCTGCTTATGTGCAACACTGAATAATCAGATGCAAAATAATTCAGCAGGGCAGGATGTACCCTGCATTATAAAGAGGCAAAATGCTGCTAGAAATGAGAAGGGTAAGGAGGATTCATAACATCCCTTCAAGGATGTAACATGTCCCACAGAAAGTGCCCTCTGTGTTTAAACAAAGATGTTTTGTTTGTACAAAGAGGTTTCATAAATAACCATTACATGAATAAACATATAAAATAAACAGGGCAGGGGCAGTGATTTTAAAGGGATAAAGAGAAGGTTTCCTTTCAGTGGAAACTTCCTGCACACAAGAGAAGCACAGCTGCAAAAAGGAAGCCCTGGCAGCACCAGCCCCTCACAGTGCAAGGAGCCTGAGTGCCAAAGATGGAAGAGGAATTTCCCAAAAATGGCATCCTGCAACAATGGAAGGAGAGCCTTCAAATATCCAAAAAGACAGCATCATTCAGAATTCCCCAAGTCATTTATAAACCCTTCATGGACACCAGGCAACTCTTTCTAATGTTGTCTTCAGACTAAAATAGCTCCAAAGCCAAACTGGACACCAGAACTCAGGTGATTCTTTAAGGCTGATCAAAATTTATGGGGCTTTTGGCTTTGTTGTTTTGAAGACAGATGCAGCAAGAGCCAAACCTTGACAGGTTGGCCGCAGATGTGGTCTAAAATCACTAAATTACTAATTACTAAAAGCATCTGCTGTAAATCCACACTGGGAGAGTGATCAGACAGGCTGTGCACAAGGGCCTGGAGTGACAGGGAAGGGAAGAATGGCTTCAAACTGACAAAAAATAGGTTAAAATTGGGTATTGGGAAGAAATTCTTCCCTGTGAGGGTGGGCAGGCCCTGGCACAGGGTGCCCAGAGAAGCTGTGGCTGCCCCTGCATCCCTGGCAGTGCCCAAGGTGAGATGGGAAGAATTTTAGGGTCCCTTCCAACCCAACCCATTCTGGGGTTCTGTGACTGTATTTAAGAGCACTTGGGGAAGGATCTGTAGAGCCTCAACCCCAGAAGAGAGTTCCACTGTGCCCTTTCAAGAGGCCTGGTGAAACACACACTCAAGAACCAGGCACTGCTTCAAAAACTGACATTTGACCTGATTTGGCAGCGCTGGAGAAGAGATTTCATTTTTTCAACTGTTTATACTGCACCAAGTTATGCTTATTAACTGCTTGTCTTTTATTAAGCTTTTAATTTGTAATTTGCTCAGTAATCCAAAGCAAACACAGTATTTTGGTGACAGCTACCAGAGAAGCCTGGAAAAGTTCTGATGGAAACTTTCCCTAGGGAATCTTCTTTATTTATTTAAAACAAATTATGTATAAGGATTTCCCAGAAATAAAATTTTAAAAATAGATATTAAAAAAAATCCAAAGCAGATTTAGCTCATTTATTAGCCCTAACATACTCACTAGTGGTACACCCTGCACTGTTTGGCCAGTCCCTGTGCAGTTTAACACATCTGTCCCCTCACTGTGACTACAACCATGATATTGTGATGAATTTATGATTTACCTCCACATCCTTTAGATCCACAATCCTCTAAAATTCCAGTGAAATCAGAAAATGATCACAGATAATTGCTCCTGCCCTTCCCTTTTCTGTGCTAGCAATCATAACAGTAGTAATTCTTTTTTTTAAAGCAGCTCTATTTTGACAGAAC